CCCCCCGGACCGGTGGCCAGGACCTGGGCAGTGTGAGTGCCACTGAAAATCAGCTCGCTTGCTGCCTTTGGCATGCGTGCCATAGGTTGCCTACCCCTGCTATAGGAGCAGAGGGGTGTATGTGTGTGGAAATCACATCTTTTAAAAATACTCCTATGTGTATGGAATGAAATACACATAGGAGTATTTTTAAAAGATTGGTTTTGGCCACCAGACAATGCCCAAGGTAGAAATGGCAGAAGGAACCCATCAGACACCTACCACATGAAGAATGGCGTGGGGAGATTTCATTTTTCATTAATATCCACATTTTTTAGCAAAAGAATCCAGATCAAAACCAAAATACAAATACAGCCTCCACACAGAATACCTCAATAAATTCCATCCAGTGGTCATGGACTTCTCTGAGGCTGCACAGGGTGCAAACCAATGTGGGATTTGGCCCATGGTCTTCACATAGTTTGTATGGGAGGATTTTGGTGATTGTTTGAGGTTGTTTACAGATATCATAGCAAATGCCAATAACATTGGTGAAAGAAACAAGAATGTAAACCATACAAAAACCATACTGTACTCACCAAGTCGCTTGTCCCAGGGTTTTCCATAATAACTGGGGGCAGCAGTAACCCTGAAGGAGATGTTGCATCTGGGTTGTGAGCCCCGGTGCCTCCTCCTATCAAGGAAACCACACCATTGCAATCCACCGAGCTGTTCCTCTTGCCATTCTGCATGTAGTTTGGAGTAGGAGGGTGAGAGCTATGGCTTGCTTGACTTTGCATGCTTGAACGTCTCCCAGTCCTTGGAATTAAGAGTGAGCCACGCTGGCTTTCATTTTCCCCGGCAGTGCTGATCTCATCGTCGGCAAAATCTGTTTCGGAGCCAATGTCTCTGCCACGGAATCGGAAACTGAATATACTTCCATGGCTGGTTCTGCGCTTCACTGAGTTTGCATTTGGACCATAGCTAATGTCAAGGAGAGTCTGGAAGCCCCCAGAAAGGAAAAAGGGGAAAAGAAATAACATTTTGCAACACAGTTTTCAGAATGATGAAGGTTTTGAGTTCTTCCATCTACTGCGGGAGATCAGTAAGTCCCTTTTAAATCAAGTGCCTCAGATAAGGATTTACTTTAGATGTATTAACCTCAATACAGTTTTGAGATTTAATAACCATTCCTAGCCATGAGGTATTAGTTTAATACGTGGCTGTTAAAGATGTACTGAAATGTAAAGGGCCAAGGCTGTGTTCACTTAGTAGCAGAACACTTTCTTTGCTCCTGCTCCCTCTCCATGCGATTAGAGTGAAAGGACATGGGGGAGGGAGACGAGAAGTATAAGAGTGGTGTGGATCGGTGAATCCAGCCCCAGTTGAAGGTGTCACAGTACATCTTCACAGGTGGCTAAGGAACAAACTTTGAAGTGAGAGAGCAAGAGATAAAGAAACAAGGGAAGAAATGAATCGTAGGGAGAATGAGAAGAAGAGGAGGGAAGAGGAAGAGAATGAAGACGAGAAAAAAAAGCAGAGTGAGAAGAGAAGACATGGTGGATTCTGGAATAGTTATCCCAATGTAAGTGTATCACCGTCTCTTTCAAGGGGCAGATCATCTAACTACAAGGCAATATCCCTTGTACTTAAACAATGGCTCTTTTGATGATACACTGAATCAGCTAAAGAGAGACTACAAACCTGAGAAATCATCAGCAGTGATTAAGCCCAACATTGAACAACCTTTTATAAAAAACCCTAAAAAGGAACACTGCCTTACTGAAAATAATGTTTGGAAATGCACACAGGCTTAGAGCCTGTAACTCTTCTCTCCTATCTCTAACGTAGGAATGAATTAAGAGAGAATATTTGGTGGGGAAATATAGGTTGTTTTTTTTAATCTTTGTGGCCTGTACTTAATTACTTCCATCTGAACTTTTTTCATGGTCCAAATCTTTATTAATAAGGATCAAAAATGTTCACTATCTACCATCTCAGTCAAACTTTCTGGGCTTGATTCTGATCTCACACAAGATATACACCATTGACTCCAGTGGAATTATTCCTGATTTACACTGGTGTAAGTAAGAATTATAAAAATTCAGGCCCACTGTATAAAAAGACACCTCATTTTGACTGAGACCATTTACTAAATGGTCAAAAATCCATATCTGGGTTTCCATGATACAGTCATTGAAACTGATTCCTGATGGCAGTGTGCTTACAGCAGCTCAGATTTCATTTGAATGATGATGATTCAGTCTTATTCCCTCAAACCATGCCAGGCACAGCCTTACAAAGATGATTTACTATAAGCTTTGAAATGTTACTTCCATGTTCCTCATGCATATGACATCCAGGGGCGAAAAATGAAAACAAGAAATATAACCTAAGAAACACATTAACAAGTGTGCAGCTCTGGTTCATTCTGGTATTTGGTACCTTGAAACCCACTCAGAATGAATCAAAACAGCAATTCTAGCTAGCATTAACAATTGTATAATTAGTAATGCAACCCACTCAATTAATTAAACAATATCAAGAAAACCCTCTCAGGATAAAAAACCCTAATGTGTCATGCATAAATGTTGTGAGCTGGGGAATCATTAATTTGTCACATCTACTTACATCACTTTCACATTTTCCATGCACTTTTTTATGGTTGCCAAATGTCCCTAAATTTACTGACAATAAAGTATTGAAAGACTTAGCCCATTACATGGCTATTCAAAAACAACAAATAAACTGCTTTAAACTTTGCCCCCTATTAAGCGTAGACAAATGTTAATATCTGAAACCATCATCAGTATCATCACTATCTGCAGATTCACATTCACACATATCAATTATATTAACAGAATAACTTTTTAAACAATGGGCTTACCCATATTCTTTTTTTCCCCTACAGTATAAAGTGAAAACAATTCCAGAACATTTGTACTGAGAGATGATAAGCAAAAGATTAAAAAGCAAAGAAAACTTTTCAAGTGTCCGCTGTACATCATTAAAAAGCAAAAAAGGCACTAGCCCATTAGTAGGGATATGGTTGCCATAACTGGATGGATTACAATTTACAATGAACATGTTACCATGAAAATAAATGAGACTGGGGAAATTTTGAAATGTTTTAAAAAACAAACAAACAAAATAGTGACAAAAATGCTTTAGTGGGCATTTTAAAAGATGATTTTGAAATTAGAGTAGATAAGTTTCTCTCCACAATTATAACATATAGAATTTGTGCAAGCTAGTCACAGTGCTCAGTGTTTGATCCTTGTTTATTGTTAAAGGTTTTTTTGTTTTAATTACAGTACTACCATTCAGAGCCCTGATTATTCACCAAGATACAGAATGAAGCAAATTGTCATTGACATTTCAGATAATGACTTACCATTCTTCGCTGACCACAATCATACTCAGATATGGGAACCTTTTGGTCTTCCCCATAATCTTCTACCCCCAAGGACCTCTTTTTCGTTCTCCTATTTCTTCTCTCTTTGGCATTTTTGGATGCTAAAGGTGACATTTCAAATGAGCTAAGTGACATTGAATCAATTCCTCTAGCAGCCAGTGCCTAAAAAAATGAACATAGCAGATATACCATTTGCAACTTTAGGATGTCAGTAAGTAATAATGATTATTCTTTTTGGCAATTAGTTTTCATTGATACGTTTCAGCTCACAGTGAAGGTTAAAATGATATAAAAAGGGATTGGTCACAATATTTAACTAACTGTAAAAATACCCCATTTGACTTACCATGGTCTTAAAAAAATTCTATCAGCTCCCTCATTTCAACATTGCAATAATCTAACATCTCCACTTATCTACTTGATGACTTACCAGCAATACATTCAGGATACTAAGTTTCCAGTCTAAAACTGTAAGCGCACATGTTCATGTCATGTTCTCATCCAAGCAGTTTTCTCCTTGCTTGTGCTTAGGCAGAAGCGTGGCAATATAAAATAAAATAGTTCTGAAGTACTCAAGAATGAGATTCTTATATATTTCAACAGCTAGGGCTCCAGTGTGGACAGCCAGCACAATGTGTGTGTGCGCACACACACACACACACACACACACACATCATACGTATGCCTTCCATCCAGAATAAACAAGACTGGTAGAATTTTAGGCCTACCAAGCCTTGGCAGTGCCCCTTTAATCAAAAAGGGTGAATCAGAGTGGAGCCCAGCAGGCTGCCATTGGGCTATGCATTGCAAGATCTCTGGACTCTTCACAGGATGATACTAACAACACTAGGTACTTTGGCTGACACATTTTTATAAGTGACATCTTATCCCAAGCAGTGACAGCGCCAGCTCTGATCAGGGATCCGAGGCGACAAATGCAAACCATGGGTGTAAAAGAAGATAAGACAGACTTTTCAACTCCACATGCCTCTGCATCATGTTCTCCACGTCAGCTATCTTATGGAATCACTGCACAAAAATTCTGATAACAGGAGAGCTGCTAGAAACCCAGCTGCGGCTGAATTCAAAAAAGCCTGCCAGCACAAATCAATGGTCTTGAAAAGCCAGTGGAAAGCCAGGAAAGAAAAATCAAAATATTAGAAAAGAAGCTGCAGACCCATGATGAAGCATTTGATGAGAGTTGGGGATTCTCTCAGGCACGAACAGGGAGTTTTGCGCCTCCAAAGAGACTACTGAAAATTTGGTAAAAATCAGACTTGAGCAAAACAAATAAGATTAATTTTGGGGGTGCCAACCAACTGGAAAGAGCCACACCTATTGATTATCTACTAAGCAGGGCCCCTATTTGCAGGTTCTTTGCCAGAATACAGAAGGTATCAGATAATCACTGAACAGTGCTACAGGTTCCCAGGTATAGTGGAATTAATGAATCTTCATTGTTATTTTCTGTAAGCCACCAGACTCAAACAAGCAATCACCCTTAAGAAATAGAACATACTCCCACTCCCACAGGCGTTAGTCAAAGTAATGCAGCAAGTTAACATTTGTAAAAAGAATCAGTCATGTATTTTAAGGAGTGGGGGCAGCTCTATTATCCTCCATCAAACAGATTACAACACAACAGCAAAACTTAACTCTTTTGGGACACATATTCCATGAACAAACTTCTTAGAGCAGAGAAAAAGAGGGAGGTTTCAGACGCTTTTCTGGGGCATTGTTCTCATATGACATTGTCTTTCTAAAGAAGTGCCTATGTAGCTCAAAAGTTTGTCTCTTTCACCAACAGAAGCTGGTCCAATAAAAGATATTACCTCCCCCACCTTGTCTATTTGAGTCAACTGATTTAATCGGTATGCTGAGGTATTTTCCCTCTCGTAGACTCAATGACTCTTTTGGAGTTAGCTTCAGTCATAGAAATGTGTTGGACCAATTGCATAAGATGACTGATCAGCCCCAAGCAGACCTCTCAATTAGAGCTGCGTTCTCTTTGTATCACTTAGCATAAGTGCCATTCTGAACAGTTTAAATTTTCCTTTCTGCTTGCCATAACATTTTCTTTATCTCCAAAAATGGTGCTATTAAGGTTGCCCTACTCTTCCCAGTATGATACTTTGTTTTCAGTTGCTTATAACTTTGCCAAACGTTTAACTGTTTGGGGTGAAATTTTCCATACTTGCCTCTGGCTGAATTTTTTTTTAGAAAGTTTCAGCCAAAATGATGAAGCTGTTTCTGAGAATGAGGCTAAGAAAAAAATATGTTGTTTTGCCCATGATAAATAATTCTGGTGACCTTTTCTTTAAGAAGCTCTAGTGTCCCCATGCTTTGAAGGGGGGAACTTGAAATTTGAGAAGGGTCCGTCCTTTGCATCAGAGATGTGCCTTTTGCTGTTCTGTGAAAATCTGCCCGAATTTGGCTAAGTTATAAGCCTTTGAAAAAAAATCACAGTTTTCACATGCTCAGTAGACACTTGCTAGAGCTCAGCAATTCAAATCCCTAAAGAATTTGTCTGCACTGGACATGTTCCAGCCTGGGGGATGAGCAGGATTTTCCCTGCATTTACAGCTCTGGGTTATGGTGGGCCAGGGTTAGACTCCGGAACTGAGAGCAGGGTGCCTCTCCTGTGTTCTCAATGACCTCTCTGCTGGGCATAGGCAGCATGGAGGAGGAAGCTGCCTGATTCAAATTCAGAGGAAAAAATAAAGACAGACAGACCTGTGGGGGAGGAGAGTAGAGACAAAATTTGGTTGGAGGCTGGCAGGTGGGGAGGAATGGGAGAGACTGGGACTGCCTGGATGAGGACAGTGAGAGTCAGGGGCCAGAGACTGGAATGGAAGCCAAGGGATGAAGACTGGGACTGGCTGGGCAAGGAGACTGGGACTGGGAGGGAAATAAAGGAAGGACTGGGAGCCAGTGGGTGTGTGGGGAGACTGAGATTGTATGAGGTGCTGAGAGGAGATGGGGGCTGATTGGGCCAGGAGTAGTGCTGGGAATGAGTGGAGCAGGGGAAGGAGTTGGGGTGTGAGGAGCAGATGTGACCAGGAGCCCAAGTTAAATCAAGTTCCATTTCATGTTGTGGAAAGCTTAATCTCAGGAAGTACCTGTTTAAGTGTCTGTAACATAGGATTTTATCTGTACAGGGAGTCCTCGGACTTACGACACAATTCGTTCCTCAGAATTGCATTGCAAGTCGAAACCGCTTTTCCCATAGGAATCAATGGTATGAAGGAGGGATTGGATCCTGAACCAAAGCTTGCTGCACTATTTTCACCACAATAACCCAGATTTTTGTACTAAATGAATTATAGATGTCGAATGTTGCAACACCAATGTACTTACTGTACACTGTATTTTGTAAACAGCATTCAAATAAACATATAAACTCACATATGCTGTTCAGAATGCCGGCAACACAGGCTCAGAAAGCCAGGGAGAATGGCACACATGCTGAGCCTCAGCCAATCACTGTTCAAGCTTTCTGACTGGCTGAGCCTGGGGCTGTGAACCAATCAAAAACAAGCGGTGACCCTACCCGGCAACAAGCTATCCTGCTGCCTCGAAGCCGATCAGAAGCAACCCCTTCCAGCTCCATCCCAGTGTAACGCAACTAGGAAGTGATTTCAAGCAAACGTTATGCAAATCGAGCGTCGTAAGGGCGAAACAAGCGTCGTAAGGGTGAAACGGGCAGTCAATTGAAAAGCATCGTAAGTGGCGTCCAACGTAAGTCGGGCGTCATAAGTCTGAGAACTCCCTATATAGGCCCAAAATTGTAAATATTTTAAACAGGTGACCCTACATATTCTCCCATTTGTCAAACAATAGGATATTAATAGTGGTTTGAAACTGTAAGATTAATAAAGCAAATGAAAAAAGAATGTTAGTTAACGTTCTTGTTGTACAGAAGAGAAGTGTGGCTACTTTAGTCCAGTTCCACACACAGTTTTTGTTCCCGTGTAACTACTGCAGTTAGGGACATGATGTTTACCAAAGCAGATGTACGGTACAATCACTAATATGGACACAGATAGACCAGTATAAAAATGCCTTATATACCGTACCAATATCACTGTGTCCATAATGTTGGGCAGGTGGAGGGCGTGGGGAAGTTGCACAATTTTAACTATACTGGTAGAGGCAAAGCAATACAGCTTTTGTGTGTAGGCAAGTCCTTACTGGCCACAAACATTACCATTACATTTCTTCTAGAAAAGATTGTAACCCCTCTGAATAAGACAATAACCAGCCACTCATTTTCAATAGAGCCCTTATTTCATTGGTCTTATATGTTTAGAATAAAGATTGAGTGTTGTTGTATTGCATGTTCAGGCTAAGATTAACCAGAGAATAGTTTACAGACCTCCTGCTCTTTCTTTAACATTTCCATGGCTTCCCGAAACTTCCTTTCCTTTGCCTCTGTTTCAGCAATAGTGGCTTGGTTCTGCTCTTCATAAGCCATGGCCACTACAGCCAGGATCAAGTTGATCAGATAAAATGAGCCCAGGAAGATGACCAGCATAAAAAAGAGCATGTAGATCTTCCCAGCAGATCTCAGAGTCTGCAAGCACAGAAATAAAGAGTCTGATGCATAGTTAAGTTTAAAGTTTCTACAATGTTTTAAAAGACTTATATTTACTTTTAATTAAATTAGATTTTTGCTAACAGCCTGAACAGAAACCCGTTCAATATAAAAACTATCACATCATAGGAAGTTACACTCTCATCATGAAATTGCCATAATTTAATCAGGTGATCATTGTGTCATGCAGCAAGATGCATTTTATAATGAGTGTTTTTTCTCATGAATATTGTGTTTGAGTTTGTTCGATAACAGATAAACTTATCAGCAATTGCAGGGAAAACATTCTTCACCTAAAAAGTCAGCACACTTTCCTTTGAATACAGACCTTCAGAAACTTGCCACCTGGATATAATTTTTGTGTGCTAATACAGAACCTGCCCTCAGACAGTGGTACATTTCCTAAATGCTAATTGTTTAGCCGTCCTTTTTACAGTCACAACTTGAACCTTCCAAATCTGTACCTGTAATTTTCCACCCATTAAATGAATTACAGTTATTTAATTGGCTTCTATTTCAATGTATTACTAGTTTTCATGAGATAAAAATAAATTGTGTAGATGGTGGCACAGGAAACTGGAGTCCTCAGTTTATTTGAAGAACTGTATAGCATGGTCTATGGCAGTACAGCCTTCCCTGATTTCTATACCAAAGTGCTTCAATCTTGACATGGAGAACCAAATTTTCAGTGGGCACAAACCCATTTGCACACACAACCATGTGCATGCAATTTTGTGCCTAATTTCTGCATGCAGTTCCTGAGACTTGCACATACAATTACAGCAAATGCATGCAAGAATGAGTATTTAGTTGACCTGTCCATTTGCACACACAGTTGCTACAACTGTGCATGAAAGTTACAAGTTATTCTCAGACAATTTTTGCACATGAACCCCAGGGCCTCCTTGATGGAAAATTTGCTCTGGGGAGAGCACTCCTAGGGGTGTGGGTACAATTTAGTCTCCTTCTTCATTTAATTCGGTCAAGAAGCATGGCAAAGGAAGTGATGTTTTTTGTCAGGTGGAAACCATTCTCCTTTGAGCAGGACTGGGATCACCAACTCATTTTACATCAGCCACCAAACAGTCATTACACGATGACATCTTTCAGATTCAAACAAGTTACCCAGTTCTTTCTCCCATTTACCAATCCTCCTTAGCCATCCACTGACAATCATCTCCTAAAAATTCACTGCAGCAACTGAGTAGGATGTACACAGGAGAGTCGTTCATTCTGTGTTTAACTACCACCAATTTTCTCCTAACTTCAACTACTGACTTTGGACTTGTACACACAGTGAGTTAGTGCATAGCAAGCCAGGGCATGAATCTACATCACACTAGCTTGCCACTCACTAATTTGCTATGTAGGCCTTGTGCACTAAAAGTTCTGTAGCGCAGTTCAACATGCTCCTGTTTCACACAGCAAGATAGGGCGCGTCAAGCTAGTCTGCTGTAGATTCACACCCTGGCTTGCCACACACTAACTCGCTATGTAGACAGATCAATATATTATTGTAAGTGGATGACTGATTTATTTGATGTTTTAACGAAAAAAATCTGATACCTGTTGATAGAGACGCTCCCAGCAATCCTGTGTCATCAGGCGGAACAAAGAGAGAAAGGCCCAGCCAAAAGTATCAAAGCTTGTATAGCCATGATCAGGATTTTCACCAGCCTTTAGGCATCTATATCCCGTTGGACAGGTGCTACAAATAATAATAGAAAATAAAGCTAATTACAGGTGGCTTCGATGTGGAGGAACTGGTTTTCCTACAGATGACACTGGCTGCTTTCAGCTGAAAGTTACAGCCATAGAAACATACAGGCAAACTGTTCCATCTCATGTGAAAGTTCAGATTACAAATTACATTTAAGGTTGAATGCTTACAGTACACAGAGAAGATCCACCCTAACCAGGTGAATTGAGGATTGATAACCAAGTCACTGACTATAACAATAAATAAGGCTTCTCTTACCCCTTACAATTATCTTGAGAACGGCTGAGATGCTTCTCTTACCCCTTACAATTATCTTGAGAACGGCTGAGATGCTGGAACCGATCCTCAGCTGGTGTAAAGTGACAAAGCTCCATTGAAGCCACCTGGATCTGTGCTAATTTATGACAGCAGCGGATCTGGCTCAATATTCTTATGTGACCTGAGCTGTCCACCCGTCAGCCTGACCTTCTACTCGCTCTCTGGGACCAGTGAACCTTTCATCTAAGCGCCCAACCCTTCAGTTCACTCACCAGAGGAGCCGGGGATTTCACATCCTCTCCAAGAAAAGTCCTTACCTAAACGGCTGCAATGACTTTTCTGCTTCTCAGGAAAGCTTCTAGTCTGTGCATCTTGCAAAATTCCCTTATTACATCGCATGCCGCAAGCAAAACATTCTCTCATTAAATTTCACAACTCCTTACAATGTTTTTTCTAAAACACTATGCCATACACAGCAACAAAGTATATTAATTACAACTAACTCTACCAGTTACTAAAGCAACCGTGTAAATAGCAATTTGGTAAGGGTACCAGATCCATCTAACAGGCAGGAAAAGAGGAACACAGCAGAACTTGCATGCCTTTTTTCACACAGTTGTTCCAGATGCTCCCTGTTTATGCTCTGGATAGGTAAGAGCCTACTAAGGGTCTTATAGCTCTGTAAAAGCTCTGGTTGACGTGGTTAGGAATGGCTACAATAATGTGGCTTTGTGAAGGCATTTTAATGACAAAAAACAATTTCCAAGAAGTGTTTTTGAACAGAGCAATATGCTCCGCATTGGAGTTGGTGAATTTGAACCTCTACCTGTGAAAAAGAAGAATCAAATTTCTCTAACTTGTCTATAGTCAGGGCTATTAATCAGCAATATCCAATCAGTTGATCCTGTAAAACACTTCTTCACCAGTCATGTCGAGTGGCAAACATGTCCAACAAGTATGACCTGTCTTGTACAGAATAATAAGAACCCTCTCACTCTATTACACAATAGAATGTTTCAACCATAATTGCTTTTTAGCACAACGTTTAACAAAACAAAATATAGACACCAAACCAAAAAGCAATAATAAATAAAAATAAAAATAAAATAATAATAATAATAATTAAGAAGAAGCAAATCAAAGTAAATCTTTGAATTCAAGCCAAAATTAGAATAGATTCAAAGTCAGCCATGTGGTGGTGG